GCACGCTCCATCATCAGACACATCAGGCAGAACCGTTTGATGTTGACGTTTGACGACGATGGAAGGAAGAGGCAAGCGAGAGGACTGGGAGAACGCGGAGCGGTGGAAGTTAACGCGGACACGATCGGTGGAAAGTTTTCGCGTGACAGCGCGCAGTTAATAAGAATAAAACACGAGTGTACACATAAGAGCTGTTTTTCCGTAGTTTAACTATTGTATACACTTTTAAGACGGTTCTACAGTAAAGTACCGAAAATTTAGGATGTTTCACCGGAGCCCTCCTAAAGTCACAAATATATCTGCATAATTTGGATAAAATATTAAAACTATGTGTTTTAATATTAAAACTATGTATTTTAATTATGAAATAAAATGATATTTAATATGCAAAAGTAGTGAAAAAAAAAAAAGTTGATTTCTTGTACAATTTGTTCTTGTAAAAATTCGATATTTTATCATTTCGACATTAAATATCTTTCCAGAATGACCTATTATTTTTTTATGACCATTACGATCGTAATTTTTTCACTCTAGAATTTTACAGACGTTAGTAAGTTTGATACTTCAAATTCATTGTATTAAAAAATCTAACTCGATTTATTGTAGAACCATTTCAAGGAGATTGTAAGGCAAATGCAATATGTTAAGAATTACTTGAAAAAAATTAGATTCTAAATTGCATTTAAAAGTACAAAAAAATTAGAGACAGTTTACCATTTGGATCAAGTTATTTCAATAAAAAGTAATATTTTTTAAATTTGTACTTTAATAGAAATATATGAAAATGTATCGTAAAATAATGATAGAAATCTCAATTTTTTTATGTAAGTACTTCATAAATTCAAAAATATTTATGTAAAGTTACATTAATTTTTCAATAAATATATAATTTTATAACAAATATTTATTTGTTATAAACTAATCTCAATGAAACTTTGCACAAGTCATTTTTAGCACTTAAAATATTTATATTTAAAAAATTTAGATTTTTATTATTTTTAAAATTTTTGTTTATAACAATAAAATTATTATCAAATAAAATAAATAATCTATAAAAATGTGTTGCTTAATAAAAACAGAATGAATACAATTTTCACATGTATATAATTTGTTTAAAGTATAAATACTAATATATGTGTTTTATGCCCTTATCTCCTTAATACGACATAGGTATATACAGGGTTAGCCATATTCGACGGAAAGACCTTGAACCCTATTAAATGATTTTTAAAATGAACAGCAAAAAATGTGTTTTTTTCCCATGATTGAAAAAAAAAACATCTTTCCGTCGAATATGGCCAACCCTGTATATGTTTGATATATTTATAATAACAAAAGCAAGAAAGCAAGAAAGAGAGTTGTAGGAATGAAATCAGATCTGTGTGGTACACATGTATATCTGCATCGAAACTTTGAACTTTATTTTTCATAATTAAGATTTGCCAGATATGCGAGTCTGGCGATCACAACGAGATATAGTTTCCATAATGCATGATTCTTTTAACGACGAACTTAGAAAAGAAGGATTGCGCTCACTCGTAGAAAAGAAAAAAAAAAGAGAGGAAAAAGAGAACGAAATGACTAACGTAACTCTCCCACGCACGCTCTCGCTCGCTCGTACTCACGCACTCTCGCACGCACACACGCATCTTTGTCCGGAACCATGGAATCCTGACGCAATTCGTTCGTTCCGCTCGCAATAGGTACGCGCGGTGTTGTACTAATTGCTAGCTTATCTAATTAGTCGGATAAGGCGGCACACCGTTGTTTGAGAGCGACGCGAAGCCACGAAACGATCCTCGTTTCTTCGCCTCCGGTGTCGCGCTACATACAAGTGTGTCGTTTTATTGCGTCATTCGTATGTGCCGCGACCGCGTTTCACGCCAACAACATCTACAATAAAATCCCGGACGCTGCAGCTGTGACGTCACTCGCGCGCTCCCGGGAATAATCGAGGGCTCCTTTGAATTGATTGCGAGGTTTCGGAATAGAACGTCGAGCGACGAAAAATTAATAATCAGCTGCAGTAGCGACAGCGAGGAATAATAATCCTCTTTAATCATTCTCAACGAGTGACGTCACAGCTGTAGGAATTCTCATATTACACTAAGAGAAAAATGTATTAAATTTTAGTAAATATTTCTTCGAATAGCGCCAGTTGAAAAATATTTACTAAAACATAAATATATATTTATTTAATAGGAGAATTACCGATTTGATTTATTATTTTTTATTTATTTATTTTCCGTAAATAAATGTTATATTAGTATACTATTCAATTATTTATTAAAATTTAGTACATTTTCTTCTCGATGTACGGATGGATTTCGGTCTCTCATGTCTCCACCCTCGCGAAATGAATCACGCGACAATGGAGCACCATCTCGTGCAACGCACGCGTACAGGCGAGCTTGTACGTGCGAATACAATGTATGTAACATCAACAGCGTGTCTCTTCTCTAGCGATCGATAGCGATAAGTATAAGCTATGCACTAAAACATGCACAGAGAAAAGGATATAAAGCTAAACGTTATCTACTATTATACAGATCCACGTTAACGCGCGGTCCTCGTTTCCTCTCTCGTCCGTTTTTTTTTCCTTTTATTTTTCATTTTCTCCCAGGAATTTCCCGCAACGTAGATATCACTGAAATCTTTGACATTCTCGCGTCTCTTCGTTAATACTCCAGTGCGTTTACCCTAAACGATACAACGATCGAAATCCCGTAGAGATGTCTCTTTACCTCGTAAGTCTTTTAATTCCGCTAATGAATTTCAAAATCGATCTGCCCTTGACATACAATTTCATAAATAGACACAGTTCCACCGGCTACGGAATTTACACAATGAATATCAGTCCGATTCACGATACATCTTCGTCAACGTAAACGTCTTTATATAAAGCTCCAGCCCTTCTTGCTTATTTCCGTTTTTCATCGAATCGAACGGACGACAGTATCTTTAGGATTAAGGACGCAGCTGTCGGGAACTAAACCGAGCCTAAGCTAAGCTATCAATGATCTCGCCTCGCATCGATCGACTGGTCCGCTCGTTGCGCTCTTCATGAAAAAATAAATGAGATCATTGGGTCTCTCTCCTCCTCTCGTGACGATTGTTCTCTTAATACTTCCGCCACGCAAAGGCATCGATAATCGTTGATCGACCGCGAATATACGCGGTTTATATCCGTTTCCATCAATGTAAATTAATCTCAATTTAATCTCGATTTAGTTCTTAGAACTAGAAAAAGATGAAGAGTTGAGAGGTTGAATCGAGATTAAAATTTAATCTACATTGATGAAAATGGGCATTGCTCAAAGTGGACTGTCAGGATTGTCATAAATTCCTCATCCTCCATCTCCAGAAAAATCTGCAAGTTCCCAGACTACGATTCTAATCGTTTTCAATTTCCTTGACATTTTCCTGATTTTCAGTTTTGTGACAACCTTGACTGTGTGATCCTGGAGCAGGACTTGATTGTCCACAATCTAACAACTCGAAAAGTATCTTCGTTGATACTCGCGTACTCTTTCTCTCTACTTTCGCACATACTCGGTTTTTATATCCTCATGCGAAGTCTGTGCTATTGCGCTAAAAAAAAAAAACGTGCCGAATCTAAAAAATTTGTAAACCTTGTAAATTAATTCACGCGGAGATCTTCCCCCATTTGACTCTAAGACTTTATTTCTGTTTGGAAAGTAACGACCCGCCTTCGTCGCGCTCGGTGACTCCAGGTTTCTTTGCGGGTGGCATTCTGATTCTAACGGAAAGCTTCCATTTATAGAATGTCGACGGGAGGTTCTCGTGCGTCGCGTGAGATAACGATTCAACGTTGTAAATCGATAGACGAGCAGAATTCACAAGACTCGCCGTTTAACTCGTAGGTAGGTTTAACCAGCGGTAGAATCTTGAAGACAGACATTATTACGTTCCCAGCTTTGAGGATTAAAAAGTTTCCGCGATACCGTTCTTCGAATTCGAACGGCAAACTTATATTTAATAATGCAGACTCGAGCAAGAGGCTGTCATACAATAATTACAAACTAATTAACTATTGTTTTGTGGTACTTTGTGTGTTTACGGTATCCCAGGCACGTTGCAAAGACCCTCTTTATTATGCCAAGCTACAGTCGTTATCTCTATAGGGATATTAAACTGTAAATCCTTCGGTGCCACTCGCAAACAAACTCTAATTACATAAAACAAATAATTGCACTATTAAACAATTGTACTAAAACTTTATTAGATCTTTCTTTCTCGTTTAACGCTACAATCGAGTCAACAACAAGCGACTCGCTTACTCGGAATTAATTAACACAGACTTCTTATATAATTCGATCAAAATAGTCCGCGCGAGATGACGAATGATGATTTGCTAAATTAACTCTTCAAATACCGTACAAACGTATAATTAGTAATAATTTTTCAAAACAACAAGGACATTAAAAAAAAATAGTCTCAGATGTCTTTTCATCAAACGTCGAAGAAATAATAAATCTCTAACCAGCAGAGCTTTGTCAAATAAAAAATATAGAAATATATTATATCTATATTTTTAATCGTTACTATTCGCTTAGTATTTGAAGTGTTAATCAAGTTTCACGACAAATCAGCTGTATGATATAGATACACATTGTGATAACGATATCTCTCGGTATTTTTAAAAATTACAAGATATCACACAAATATACATACACATACATATATATATATATATACTGAAAAAAATGTACTAAATTTTAATAAATATTTGAATAGTGCTAACTAAATATTGATTAAGTGTAAACATATACGTATATATCTTCATTTGATACAAGATCATTAATTTAAGTAGTATTTTTTATTGAGTAATTATTTACTATAAAGTTTTAGTTAGAATTATTTAAATAAATATTTACTAAAATTTAGTAAATTTTTTCAATATATATATATATATATATATATATACATATATATATATGTTTATACAATAAATACATAATTTGTATGTATTTGTTGTCCAATAGATACTTCAAAATATATACAAAGAATCGTATCGACCTTGCACTACGATTATCGCCAATATTTTTCAACGGTTCAGAATACCGATAATCATCGTTAACACAATACAGAGCATCACTGCAGAAAAGGAACATTATGGCTTCTGAACGGGCGAATGACGCACATTAATGGCTATTTCTACCAACGTAGATTAACTTTAATCTCAGCTTGACTTACTTTTTATCTGCTTCTAGTTTCTACAAATTATGCCCGTTTCTACCACAATGTAGATTAACTTCAACTTCAATTCAACTTACTTCTTCATCCTTTTCTAATTCCTAGAACTAGAAAAAGTTAGTTGAACCGAGATTAAAATTAAACTATATTAGCAGAAACGGGCAACAGAAAAAAAAAAGATGAAAAGTAGAACCGAGATTACAGTAAATCTACATTGACAGAAAGACATTAGTCACGTCGAGACGACGTTGAGTTCGCCAGCGATATTTAAGAAATGATCTCGAGATACCGACGCGATGTAGAACAGTACGGGAAAGGAACATCTCGCGCGCACGTTTCGAAACGAAGGTGGTGAAGAGAGTCGAGCGGGGTGCAGGCCGCGTTGGCGGCCATAAGTAAGTCTTCCACGTAGGTTCGTCCGCGAGCGTCGATACAGCGGCGAGGCGAAGCTATCGCGCAGCGCCGACAACGCAGCGTATTTACAAACACGGCCATGTAAGGCGAGTTCTCGCCTAATTGTGTTTACACACACGCACGCACGTACGTGCACGCACACTTTCCCGTCGCCGTCGTCCTGGGACTCCCACGCGGCCGAGCGAAGGAAACGCGCGTTTTCACAGGATACTTTCTGAACCTTTTTTATCGTTTTCCACTTTCCGAGACACTTTCCATTCCGGAATCACAAAAGAAGCAACCCTAGAAAGGGTCTCGTTCCTTTCATCAAAAGAAGATAAAGGAAAGGATCAGAAAAAGACCGCGGAATAAAGCGGTATTATTCACGACGAGAACGTAGGAACGTCCGTAAAAGTTTTCCCCAAACGTTGCCGTCGGACGGCTCACAGTTCCAGAGGGTCATACATCGGCGGTAACGGCTCGTCCTCGGAATCGTAGAAGTACGGTTTCCTGCGGTATCCGCCACCGGACCGTCGCATGTCGTCCTCATCGTTCACGACGTCGTCCTCGTCCACTTCCGAGCTCGAGAGCTCGTCGAGGTTCTCCTGCAGCCTCTTGACCGCCTCCTTGATGAGGCCGCCTTCGCGCAGTAGTTCCTGAAGTACCTCGTACGGGTCATCGTCCATCCTCCTCTCGCTCCTTTTCAAATGATTGTGATAATGATGGTGATGGTGATGATGATGAGCAGCAGTCACGTGATGCTGTTGCTGCGATTGTTGTTGCTGGCCGTTGGACCGCAGACCGCAGACCTCGCAGCCGGCGGCCGGATCCGCCCAGGAACGCGCCGGCACTCGGTACGGCGACGGCCGATTGTTCTTGCAGCTGATACTGGACTTGGCCTTCAGACTGGACAGCCGTAGGTTCTCCTTGATCTGCGACACCAGGAGGTCGACGTCGCGCGTCAGGAACGCGTCCGCTTGTGCCGCGCCGTCCGGCATCACGCCGATC